CAGTTTCCTATATAAAATGTAACGCTCTACAAAAAAGGTCTCTTAATATTTTTCGATAAATTGATTTCTTCTTGAGTTATTCGAGGTCATAATGTGATTAAAATCAAATTTTCTGGTTTTTTAAATTTTATGGTACAATTAGCAGACGGGAGGTAAAAGGGGGCAAAACAAGGCAGCGGGGGGGGGGGGGGTTAAAATAGGGTACTCAAAAAATTTTGTAAAAAAATTTTTTTTTAGATTGTTTTTTTCTGTCTCTAAATTATTTGAAAATATATTGACTCACAAGTTCACGCTTTTAATCGAAAATAATTATTCTGAGCCTGTAGAGCGAGAAAAAGGATGGTACAATTTTGGAAAACTTTTCATATGCTCATTTTTTGGGTACCCCATTTTGCCCTTCCCCGCTGCCTTGTTTTGACCCCTTTCACCTCCCGTCTGCTAGTTGTACCATAAAATTAAAAAAAAAACAGAAAATTTTATGTTAATCAAACTTCGACCTCGAATAACTCTAGAAGAAATCAATTTATAGAAAAATAATAAGAAAGCTTTTTTGTAGAGCGTTACATTTTATATAAGAATCTGCAATGATCATTGCCATGAGTTACTTTAATACAGAGGTATAAAATTCCAAACATAAAATTATTTTTTCCCATGTTAATTAAATGGGAAACTAAAATAAAAACAGCGACCTCTTAGAGTTGAGCTGGAACGCCCATATTTGGTGAGGATTTTTTTTTATATTAAATAGAAACATTTGAGAGGGTAAGAGCGAAAAAAAATTAAGTTTTATTTTTTGAAGCACCCTAAACTTAGTGGCATAAATTTAGGAAAAGATTGAGCAAGTCAAAATAAGACGAAAACCTAAATAAATATTTTTCCTAATTACTTAAGCTTCCAAGATACAGGGTGATAAAGTGTTACTTATCATATGAGTTTTTTTTAAATAACTTCTTCTATGGTAAACTTAGAAAGGTGATATTTTGCGAACAGTCACTTACTACCAATACACATATTCACACATAATTACAATTGTTTGAGTGAACACAGTGTCGTAGAAACGGGGGTTGCTCTAAGCTTATTGTCTTATACAAACTTTGAGGTTAGGGTTTTAAAACATTTGATGCAATTTTTTGATTACTCCGTTCGGCTACTATTTAAAAAGTATACTTCTCAAACTTCGATAAAATAAACCGTTTCCGAGAAATTCGAGATTTCAATAATTGTTATATCGCATTAAAGGTTTACAAGGTATATGATAAAAGGTATATGATAAAAGGTTATATGATAACAATTTTTATTTTTTGATTGAAAAAACTAAAAAGGGCATTTCGTGAGCCTCGGAAATTTTTGCCCTGACCGTCACATTAAAAAATTGGGTTTAAAAACCACTGTAATTAAATTTATTTTTTAAATATTATTGTCTATTATTTTTATACTCGTAATGAGCATATAAGCATAGTAAATAATAATATTTCAAAATAAATTTAACAATACCGTTTTAATTACGGTGGTTTTACTTAAAGTTTTTTTATTGTGGCGGTCGGAAAATAAACTCCCGAGTCTCGTGGAATGCCTCCAAATTAGAATGAAGAAAGAGATATTAAACAAAATTTCTACAATTTATAACAGTTGTTCAAAATGACCCTCACCAGCACGCACACATGCCCGAAGTCGCCTTTCGAGGGAAAAGGTAAGTCTTCGCAAATCAAACTCTTGATTTTGGAGTCTCCAACCTCTCTCTAAGCTCTTCCACGGTTTCTACCGGCGTAGAATAAACCTTTGCTTTGATTTGTCCCTAGACAGAAAAATCCAAAGAATTCAAATCGGGGGATCGTGCTGGCCAATTTATTCGCGCGTCCACTCCCCGCCCAATCCAGCGATTTGGAAAATGTTGGGATAGCCATTGCCTTGCTAATCTGCTGTAGTGTGGTGGAGCTCCATCGTGCATAAACCATAAGTTTATTCTGGGTTGCAAATTGATATCCTCCAAAAAATTAAATAAATTGTTGGACAAAAATTGGTGATACATATTACCATTTAAATTATGTGGAAACACAAAATTTCCCAGAAATCTATTACCCACTGTTGCAGCCCAAACATTTATTTTGAATTGGTGTTGATAATGGGTTACAATTGTGGCTCTAGGGTTTTCGTCTGCCCAGATATGAGAGTTGTGCATATTAAACACTCCATTTCTAGTAAACGTTGCCTCATCCGTAAAAATGATTTTCGATAGAAAGCCTGGGCTTTCTTCTTGTTCATTTAAAAGCCACTCACAGAAATGAACACGTGCTAGTCTATCTTCTGGTAAGAGTTCTTGAACTTGTCTTAAATGATATGGATACATTAACTGTTCTTTTAAAATTCTCCTAGCAACGTTTCGGGAAATATTTGTTTGAGCCTTCAAGCGTCTTACACTCACACTTGGATTTTCATCCACTAGCTGCAAAATGTTTTCCTCGTTTCTGGTTCTGGCTGTTCGTCTTGTACCTCTGTTTTTTCCTTGTTTAGGTTGCACACTCCCGGTTTCGCGACAACGACGTTCGACAGCTAAAAATGTTTTTCTGTTGGGCGTGATTCTGTGTTGGAACCTTTCCCTGTACAATCTAGCTGCTGCAATTGAATTTCCTCGACATTCCTCGGCATTACACAAACAGAGATTATACGGACATGCTTTTGATACTAGGAGATCTCCTAGTATCAAAAGCATGTCCGTATAATCTCTGTTTGTGTAATGCTCCATAATTGTTAAAGTAAAAATTTACAAATTTTCTTTTAACAAAATAACACTAGGGTATTTATAAGTTAAGAAATTATTTGACAGTCACAAAATTTTCCAAGGCACACCAAAATTACAACGTAACAATGCAGTGGTTTATGCACGCTGGAGCTACAGCAGATTAGCAAGGCAATGGTTATCCCAACATTAGCCACAATTGTAACCCATTATCAACACCAATTTAAAATAAATGTTTGGGCTGCAACAGAGGGTAATGGATTTCTGGGAAAATTTGTGTTTCCACATAATTTAAATGGTAATTTGTATCACCAATTTTTTTCCAACAATTTATTTGATTTTTTGAAGGATATCAATTTGCAACCCAGAATAAACTTATGGTTTATGCACGATGGAGCTCCACCACACTACAGCAAGGCAATGGTTATCCCAACATTTTCCAAATCGCTGGATTGGGCGGGGAGTGGACGCGCCAATAAATTGGCCAGCACGATCCCCCGATTTGAATCCTTTGGATTTTTCTCTCTGGGGACAAATCAAAGCAAAGGTTTATTCTATGCCGGTAGAAACCGTGGAAGAGCTTAGAGAGACGTTGGAGACTGTTATCCAAAATCAAGAGTTTGATTTGCCTTTTCCCTCGAAAGACGACTTCGGCCATGTGTGCGTGCTGGTGGGGGTCATTTTGAACAACTGTTATAAATTGTAGAAATTTTGTTTAATATCTGTTTCTTCATTCTAATTTGGAGGCATTCCACGAGACTCGGGAGTTTATTTTCCGACCGTCACAATAAAAAAACTATAAGTAAAACCACCGTAATTAAAACGGTATTATTAAATTTATTTTAAAATATTATTATTTACTATGCTTATATGCTCATTACGAGTATAAAAATAATAGACAATAATATTTAAAAATAAATTTAATTACAGTGGTTTTTAAACCCAATTTTTTAATGTGACAGTCAGGGCAAAAATTTCCGAGGCTCACGAAATGCCCTTTTTAGTTTTTTCAATCAAAAAATAAAAATTGTTATCATACCTTTTAAACCTTTAATGCGATATAACAATTATTGTAATCTCGAATTTCTCGGAAACGGTTTATTTTATCGAAGTTTGAGAAGTATACCTTTTTAATAGTAGCCGAACGGAGTAATCAAAAAATTGCATCAAATGTTTTAAAAACCTAACTTCAAAGTTTGTATGAGACAATAAGCTTAGAGCAACCCCCGTTTCTACGACACTGTGTTCACTCAAACAATTGTAATTATGTGTGAATATGTGTATTGGTAGTAAGTGACTGTTCGCAAAATATCACCTTTCTAAGTTTACCATAGAAGAAGTTATTTAAAAAAAACTCATATGATAAGTAACACTTTATCACCCTGTATCTTGGAAACTGAAGTAATTAGGAAAAATATTTATTTAGGTTTTCGTCTTATTTTGACTTGCTCAATCTTTTCCTAAATTTATTCCACTAAGTTTAGGGACACCTTGTATATTATACAGTGCTTGCAAATCCAAGTCCGACCGCGTGGGAAAGGATGGTTGTTCAATACCCCCGTGAAAAGAATAAGGATAGAATGCCAAACAGAATTTGATTGGTCAGAGCGTCGGGCGTGCGTATTGTAAGCGCCTTCTGTTTGGCGTTCCGTCCTTGTTATTTTCACGCGTCCTTCTAAACTGGTCGGACTTGGATTTGCAAGCACTGTATATACATATATATGTATAAAATAAAATTTATTCTTGAAACTTTTGTTTTGAAACAAAGAAATAAAATTACTTAATGTGTACTTTAATTTTACATCTGTTTATAAAAGATAAATAATGTTTCGTAGATTTCGTAGATACCAAAAATCTGTTCGAAATATTCATATGTTTAAATTTATTCTTGAAACTTTTGTTTTGAAACAAAGAAATAAAATTACTTAATATGTACTTTAATTTTACATCTGTTTATAAAAGATAAATAATGTTTCGTAGATTTCGTAGATACCAAAAATCTGTTCGAAATATTCATATGTTTGAATGCTACTATAATAAAAACAACCGAATGTTAAATGTAAATGTAAAGGAAAGGTTTTGGACCATTGCTGTAGTATTGTTAATTACAACTGTCGATTGGTAAGTATCTCCAGTCATATTCAGGTTAAGATGACTGGATATACTTACTGAAGAAAACGACTGGAGATACTTACCAGTCACAATATCTTGAAGCGTCGTGATTAAAAAAACTACGACAATGTGTCCAAAACCTTTCCTTCATTTAACAGACATCATTGTCTACAACCTTTAACAAACAATTAAAAAACGTAATACTATGTACTTAAATATGCTTACATTTTCATGTGTTGCTGCATCGACTTGAACTCCAGCTGAATTTAACAAAAGTCTTACTACATTTTCATTACCAGAGAAGGAAGCTAAATGCAACGGGGTCATTCCTGTTTCATTTCCCAAAGTTGGCACTAATGATGCTCCATTAGGAGACTCGGATTTAACAGTTCCTGGTACATGAGTTAGCAATTCCCGAACTGTATCAGCTTGCCCAAAATAGGCAGCTACATGCAAAGGTGTAACACCAAGTTTTTTACTAACTATTCGCAATGTATTGGAAGAACGTAGAACCTCTAATACTTGCATGTGCCCATACTGTGCTGCTAGATGTACAGCTGTAAAACCAGCTTTATTTTCATCCGTTATAGATGCTCCAGCTCTAACTAAAGCCTTTACAACTTCAGCATGTCCTCCTTCTGCTGCCATTTGTAAAGGAGTGGCATCTGTTATTTTATTTCTTGCCGAAATTACCCCTTGCCTATCAAATTTCATTAGCTCTTCTATAACTGTTACACTTCCCTGTGCTGCAGCAATATGTGCGCATGTATTACCATCCTTTGTGGTCGCCATCACCAAACTTGGATGTTGCTGAAGAAATAATTTTGCGACCTCTGAAAAGTTATTTTGACAAGCAGCATGTATGGGTTTTTGCCCTTGTTCATCTGTTGCATCTATATCAGCACCCAATTCTAATAAAAGTTTACAAACTTCCATTTGTCCAGCTGCTGCTGCCAAGTGAAGGGGTGTTTGCTTTTTTAACGTAAGTATATCTATAACAGCATTATGATCCTTTATAAGGAACTTAACTAGATGTACATAACCGTTCATAGCAGCTAAATGCAAGGCAGTTCTGCCATTTCTACTTTTAGAATTTATAAAGGCTTTATTAGATAATAAAGAATCGCAAACTTGTAGGTAACCCTGTTCAGCTGCTAAATGCAGTGCAGATCGTCCTTCAGCATCAAACACATCTACTCTTGCATGGTTAAGAAGTAAATTATTAACCATTTCCAAATGTCCTTTATGAGATGCTATGGCTAGTGGCGTCCAGCCATTAACATTTTGTTTATTTAATGCTTTTTGGCCATCCGTAGGCGTCATATGAGCAATCATTTCCATTATTACATCATTGTTACCAGCCACTGCTACATAATGAAATGCGGTTTCATGTTTACTAGTCTGTAGTTTTACGTCTGCTCCATTTTCCAAAAGAAGTTTTACAACTTCCTTGTCAGAATTAGGTGTTTCTACTTCTTCCTTAGTAACAGTACAAATGTAATGTAGGGCACTTTCATCATTGTCGCTAACTTCATTAACATAATGTGAAGCTTTTTCTTCGCCTTTTCGTTCTTTTACATAGTTTATTAAATGTAAAACAACATCTGGTCTGCATCCTTTACTGGCCAAATGCAAAGGAGTTTCACCTCGCTAAAAACATCGATAATATATATTATTGTAGAAGGATTATGTGTAATGTGTAAAAGTAATTTAATAAATAGGAAATTTCTAAAAATGTACTTTTAGGATACATACATAACTCTTAGCATACTATATATATATAATATATATATTATATATACTATATTCTATATACTATATATAATATATCCCCACCTTATTTTTAAACATTGGATCACCACCATCTTCTAAAAGCAAGAGCAATGTTTGCAAATTTCCATACTGAGCAGCCACATGAACCGGTGTTTGTCCATCATGAGTAGCTAAGTTTGGACCTGCTCCAGACTTAAGAAGCATAAGCGCACATCGGTCGCCATCTTTTACTCTTGCTGCAATGTGTAAAGCTGTTTCTCTTAATTTTCCACCTAAAGAGTTTGCGAATTAATGTAAAATATTAAACAAAAGTATAATCTTATTGTTATAAACCAAATTACCACTGTAAATAAAACGCACTCCTAGCGTCCCAGCGAAAAGAAAGGAAAGAACAGGCGAGCGCGTTAACACGTTTGCTGCGGGAGTTATTTTTAAAGTATATTTCTGGGTGCGTTACGGGTCAGAATTGCCCCGTATTAGTTTTGCACAGAGTGCCTTACGTGGTATATGTGTCCCGTATGCACGGTATTGCATTTTTATTCGTAACTTTGTATATGGTGAGGAATTAAGTGGGCAAAGTATTCTAGAGGCTTGGTTTTATAATTCACTGCGACCGCATAGGGCTCCATGGTCCCGTATTTACAGAAATTTACATTTTATTGCAAAAAATCTTTTTTTTTGCGAAAAATATTAACCATAACTTTTTTTGTGTTTTTCTTGTTCTGAAAGCAATTTTTTTCTAATTCTTATTATTATAGTCAATTTATGTACATAATTTAATTATTTTTATTTCAAAAAATCATTTTTTTGTGAAAAATATTAATTTTATGACATAAAATTAAAATTAAAAAAAAACCTTCACTTGTTTTTACTTTTTTGGTTTAATTGTATTGCCAAGACTCTTAGGTTATGCGCAGTCACTGCTTGACGATGTACCCCGTACCGCACACAGTGAGAAATTTATCATTCAGTTCGTTACGGGTCGTATACATCCCGTATTATTTTTGGGGCGAATAAAATTAATAATAAAGTATGGATTCGATATGTATCAATAACATTTAAATATCTTTAAAGTTGACTGAGCTATTGCTTCCGTATTTTAAGAAGGATATGCTTTATTTTATGCCGCAAGGGAGGGGAATGCGTTACGGGGTCGTATCGACCCCTTAACGCAGCGAACGTGTTCCTTTCCTCTTAGCGTGTCACATGTATTGAAAACATTACCTCTTATATGAACATCTGCTCCATATCCTAATAAAGTTTCCACTACTGCTGGCTTGCAAGATTCAACTGCAATATGGAGAGCTGTATAATTATCCTAAAAATATTATATTTGTATTAATCTTTTTAATATGTATTTAAAAAATAAATAAATCTTACATTTGTTGTAACGTCCACTTTTTCTCCCTTTTCTAGTAATTTATTAATTATTCCAACATGCCCGTATCTAGCTGCGGTATGTATACTTCTGGCTCCATCCTGCAAAGTTATAAATTTTAACGTGCTTGAAAACGATCATTACGTTTAATTTGCATACAAAAGATCTTTTGTATATTTAATTGAATCCTTTTAAAGGACATTATATTTATGTTTATCCTGATACTAAAACATTTAAGAACTAAGGAATTTACTTAAACAAGTATATATATATATGGGTCATTTCACGTCAAATTTACCGACAAAATTTAAATTTGCCTGAAATATTTTTTTTCGTTTACGACACCAAAAAAAGTGACACGTATTTTTTTGTTTCAAAATTTTATGAATTATGTTAAAGTTAAGATTTTTTTAAATTTCAGTAGTATAAAAAAATAATTTTAAACAGTATTTTTTGAATAGAATCAGATTTAATAAACTTTAATTTTTTTGGCTTAATTTTAAGGTTATGCATTGTTTTAAATATTTAAATTTAAAAAAATAATATTTTTTTTAATTCAATTTTTTAAGCAAATTTTAAAAATTAAAAAAAAAATCGACATTTTTTTTTTTAATTTTTAAAATGTGTATTAACTTGTCAAAGTTTGCAGAATTTCAGAAAGGACCGTTTAATATTGTATGAAATATTAATAATTTTAGATATCCGCGCTCTTAAAATGAAGGCTGTTACAGAGGCATATTTAAGATAAAGCACAATGGGCTATTAAAATTACAATTAGGGATGGGTTAGATTATATTGGATTATATTATATGCATTTTAGAATTAAAATTGCATCAAGGTTGTAATTTTTAATAATTTTTTTACCATTAAAAACTGATTAATAATTTAAACAAATGTACAACAGTGTGTTAATTCATAGTTAGTTGCACATCGATATTTCTTGTGTTAAAAAATGGGTGCAAACAATTTTTATTTGAGAAAATTTTACATTTTTTTATTCAGGAGATCCAATTTACTTCAAAAATAAAAAAAAATCATATAAAAATTAAACTCATTATTATTATTATTATTATTTTACAACACAAATTACTTGCTATTATAATATTTTATTTTATAAAACAGGAATATTAAACTCGAAGAATACGTTTTTATTTTTAAAAAGTTATTGTCCGCCGGTTCATTGGAATGGATTTTTTGTGTTCCCGTAATGGTTTGACACAATCTAAAACGTTTTTGTTTTAATTTCTACGGCTTCATAGTCCTTTTCAGTAGTATAAATGACGGATATATTGCTCAAGGAAGAATCCCTTAAAGCACAATGATAAAACTCAAGGGCTGTTGTTATATTATTGCCCTGAAGGCTAGCCTTTCGTGCTTGCCTTTTCAAGGCTCCTCCAGCTCCGTCACAAGGACCTTTTCCGTGGGCTGTGGCTTGATAATGCCAAGTTGCAGAGCGACCAAAGTCTCGCTTATGATTATAAATTGTTGAAAAATGTTTAACGTTTTTAAATTGTTGTGGTGCTCCATCAGAAAAGTACAATTACGTATTTGTGGGTAAAAGCTAGAAAGAAAATTATTAAAAGCTCGCAAAAAAACGTACACTGCTATGGAATCATGTTTTTTGCAATCCGAAATTATGACAAAGGTTTTATGGCTAATGGATCCATTATTAGACAAATAAAAAACAATTGGAAAAAGTGTGGCCTGGTTGTTATTCCAGTGATAACCTGGAACGGCGTTTTGAATAATAAAAGCATAATTTTCGGCAAAATCACATACAACAAGACTTTGATCGTTCTGTAGATTGTTTTTAATTGATCTGTAATAGCTTGCTTGTTGTTCTGCGATGAAGGAATGTGAAAGAAATTTATAACCATATTTAAAAAAAATTTGTATGTAAATTTCCACTGGGACTTTTACGGTTTCGAGGGCTGTTCGAGGTTTCGAAATCCATTGTTTATGAGTGATTTCGTTGACGTTGTATTTTTGAAAAACCTTTCTTATGCTAATTTCTAAGATGTTGTTTTTCAAACAGAGCTCGCATTCTCTAAAAAAGCATTTTTCTGTCGGGTTACAGCATAGAGATAGTAAAAAAATGTCCCGGTAATTATTTACTGGATATTGTTCTGTTTTCATAAAATGTACTATTCGACTTCCTGAAAAAAATTTATTTGTTTGAATGTTATAATGACATTATAATTTAAAAATTTTACTTTAATTTTTTAGAAATATTTTTTTATTTTATTTTTTAATTTTAATATCAGGATTTTCATTTTTAAATTTTGAAAAAATATGCTTTAAACTTCCCAGTATTAAACGTTTTTGAAGAATAACGGATTTTCCATCAATCTTAACTGATTTGGTGTCTTTCTGACCTGGCATTATAGAACTGACGTCGTCGTATTCATAAAATTCTTTTACCCTAAGTTCAGCTTCTGAAGAATTTTTTTTACCTGTAATTAAGTAAATAGATTAAATATTGTATAAAAATAAAAAGCTGTTATATTTTTACCCTGGTTTTTAGAAGGTACAGACAGAATCCCGTTTTGCAAACTCAGCTCTCTAGCTTTCTTTACAAAATATCGAGACGTGTTAATTTGTTTTGCACCTCTTGTTAAACTTATATTTGATGGCAACACTGTTAAGAGTTGAATTTTTTCCTGTTGACTAGTTTTTGAATTGTGAAATTTAGATTTTATTATACAAAAGTGCTCTTTTAGTTCCACCCTTACTTCTTAAGAAGTCCCATAAGCCAACTGAATGGCTTGTGCGGGTTAGGGGTAGGAACGGACCGCGGGCTTAAAGTCCCCTCCGAAGGACTATTACACAATAGGACAAACACAAATAAACAGCCATCCCCTGGTGGGATTCGAACCCACGACTTCCGGCTTGTAGTCAGCAGCACTAACCACTCGTCCACCGATAATTTTTGGATCGCATTCAACCTCTTTCTTAAAGATAAAAACATTTTTAAATTTATGTAAAAAAATATAATTTTATTATGTCTTACTTCTGTATCGAATTCATAAAGGGAATAATTTTCTTCTTTATCATCAAAATAATTATCTTCCGAAAGCTCAACACTTGATTGTTGTTCTTCAGTATTCATTATTTTATCTACACATAAAGTTATGGTTAAAAAAATAAAAATCATCCAAAATATGGCTACTTACGAATGGCACAAACACTATTTTTACTAATGATTTTTCTGCAAGGGGCACATAAAGATCTGATGATTCCAAAAAATCAAACTTTTTTAACATTAATTTGGACGCCTGTCGCAAATATGTTTTATTGTTTTTTGCACTATGCGAACTTTTACGCAAAGGGTTACAGCACCGATCAGAAAACTTCTTATTTGCAGGCATTTTTACCAAAGATGAACAAACAATACATATAATAGAATTACAAATTTAACAAATACGGGGTAAGAACAGATTACTTGTGTGACACCAAAAATCAAACTACATCAAACTATTTAATTAATGACATTTCATTAAACTCGCCTACTTCGCTGTAAAAATATATTATAAAAATATACACGTTAAGATTTTTCTTAGTAAAAAAAACTTTTTTTAGGACTCGAATAAAATATTTAACAATAAAAATCGTCGTAGAATGGCTTTTACTAAAAGTATATATTTGCAATTCTCTGTCAATTTTATAAATTAATTTTATGGTACATTTTATCTAGGTAATTTTGTTATAAGAAGTGGCAGACATTTATTAAGCAATATTAAACTTAAAATCCAGAGGACAATAAATCAGTTTTATTTTAGAATAAAATATTTAAAAAAATTAGGTATTTTATGAAATTTGCTTTATAGGCTTTTGTTTTACTCCTGGCCCCGAAGAAAATAAATAAAGTTTTAATTATTAGCTTATCACTTTAACCATTTTAACGAATGGAAATTTTTATTAATATTGCATTAAAAAATATAAAATGGTTAAATTTAAAATTTCTGTTCGTAATTTTGAATGTTAATCGTCAATATTGTGCGATATCCTAAATATGTATCTGTAACGCGGATATCTAAAATTATTAATATTTCATACGATAATAAACGGTCCATTCTGAAATTTTTACACAATGTTCTGCAAACTTTGACAAGTTAATACACATTTTAAAAATTTAAAAAAAAATGTCGATTTTCATTTTTTTTAATAATTTTTAAAATTTGCTTAAAAAAATTGAATTAAATTTTTTTTTTATTTTTTTTATTTAAATATTTAAAACAATGCATAACCTTAAAATTAAGCCAAAAAATATAAAAGTTTATTAAATCTTATTCTAATTCTTTTTTTCTGGTACTGAAATTTAAAAAAATCGTAACTTTAACATAATTCATAAAATTTTGAAACAAAAAAATACTTGTCACTTTTTTGGTGTCCTAAACGAAAAAAAAATATTTCAGACAAATTTAAATTTTGACGGTAAATTTGACGTGAAATGACCCATATATATACATATATATATATATATATATATATATATATATATATATATATATATGTATAAAATATTTTTATTAATTTACTTTTTAATAAATAATAGAATTACCTTGTTTGGCATATGCAAGTATACTCCTTTTTTAAATAACATCATTGCACAATCGGCATGTCCATTTAGAGATGCAATATGCATTAAAGTAGAACCATCTTTGGTTCTTTCCAAAATGCTAGCTTTAAATTTGTCAGCAAGCAATTCTATTATGTTGGCATGGCCATTTTCAGCAGCTAAATGCATTGGAGTACGATCTTGATTGTCTGTTACATTAGCTAAAGCTCTTACACCATAAAAGTATTTAACTAAAACTTCGTCCCCCTCAGCGGCAGCGATGTGAAGTGGAGTTTGCCCTTCTCCGTTTCGAATATCTACGGAGGTTCCGTAGTCAACCAAAATTCGTACCTATATTGTAAATAAGGGTTAATCAAATTAAACCTATTATTTTTAAACTGTCAATAACTTAACAATATTTATAAGTAAGGCAACAATAAATTAAATAAAGATCATCATCATCATAAGTACAATTTTTGTCTAGCAAAATATATTTATTTAATAATATACAAAAGTTTATGGGCAGGTACTGAGTGCATTAAATGCTTTTAAAAATATTTTTTAAATAGCGCATAGTATTCTTACCATATCAATATCTTTTCTTCGAACTGCAAGATGTAAAGCTGTATCCCCATTTAAAGCTGCAGCTTTTAATTGTTCTGCTGTTTGAGCACTTAGTAGTTCTCTACACATAGACTGATTACCAGCTTCTACGGCCAGAAGGAGGGGTATTTTTCCTTTCTAAAATTTAAAATAAAGTCCAATAAGTAATTTTGAGGACATTTCATTTTGTAAGCTAACGTTTTGATTATCTAACCACTCGACCACCGTCGTCGCAAAACTTTTACTTTAAATCGCTTGTCCTCCCAAACCAGGTCGTTCTTACAATTTTTTTTTTTTAACATAACATACAATATAACATTTAATGTAGTTCCCCTGACAACAATCTGGATTTCCTGATTTCATGAACTCATAATGATATCACTCGTAATATCATGAGTGCATACACATGCTTCATCATGTTGAACGCAAAATCTGCGCATGTGCACGAGCCCTACGAACGATGAATTTAAAACTTATGTATTTAAATATTAAATTGAAGCTACCAATTCAAGGTAATTACCTTGAATTGGTAGCTTCAATTTAATAGTTCTTTTATAATAGGTTTAACTTAATAATAATAAATATTCGCAAACGGCAACACTGATAATATTATACACACGCTGTCTGTAAACAAACCGCCATTTTTGAAGCAAACCGATTTTTGATCTTATGAACAAATTGGTACATTAATGTATGATGCAAAAGCTTAAAACCCATAGAAAACCCCTAAGGGGGCCTTACAGCGAAGCGAAACATTGGACTTTACCGTCTAGTTGTGTCTTGTCTGTAAAAGAAAGACTGACACTAAAACATAACCAAAAATCACAAGGCCACTTGTTTTAACTAGTATACGCATGAAAATTCAAATCCAAAGTTTGTATTCCTAACACTGATGATATAAAAAATCACGTCATGATTTTCATTTCTTACATGTGATATCCGTATGGCACATAAATTTAAATCCAAACACTAATGACATAAAAAATCACAGAATGATTTACTTTTCACACGTGTGATATCCGTATACCTATATAAAATTTGTGAAAATCACGAATGTTGTCTGTTTCTTCTTTAATTTTATTACAGATTTTTTTTAAATGTAAAATCCGAACTTTATTTTCTATAATGTTAATTATAATTATAAATAATAATAATAATAATAATAATAATAATAATTATAAATATATTTATAGACAATTACATAATATGTATTATCCCAGTAAACATTTGTGATATCACGAAAAAGTCACGACGAGACATGTCACAACTTGATATTCAATTGCTGGCACAGTGATTAAGTTTGTCGTTTTATGTCAAGCAGTGACACGCGCGTGATCTTTTTGTCACGACGTGACGTGAAACTTTTCATTTAAATGACATTACTTTAATTTGTTCATAATACGTTAATTACGTATTATGTTATTATTGTTAGACAAAGACTTTTTTCTTTAATACACGTTATAGGTTAATGATTTTAAACAATTATTTCCCCAAAAATATATAACTTCACTTTATATTTGTTTGCGATTTTGCAAGCGAAGAAAAAAATTAAATTTGTTTCCGTTTTATTTTTAATCTATAAATAATAATATACTTAAAAAAAAGCAGTATCATACCCAAATTGTATGTTCCAGCGCCGCCTCTGGATTAACTAAATTTAATTAACATTAAATTAAGCCCTTTGCCTATAGGCAGTATACTACTAAAAACCTACCTCCCTGCCTCTCGAAAACGAAGCTTTAAAACATACATACTTTTCTTCTGATATTTTCGATTTCTTTAGATCACTAAATTTTCCCTATTAAAATCTGCGACACCCTGTATACATGTAGGTATTATACTTATAGGATACTTGATGCACCCTGTATAAAGGTAGTGTGCAAAACTTGTCTTATTATTATTTTATTTAAATAAACGTTGACTGTTAATATTTTAGCCCATAATTTTATTTCACCCAAGGCCGCAAGTATGTTGAAGCTGTGATATACGATAAGAGGGTCGTCGCTATTGTTACTAGCGATGCAACGTGTTTTAAAAGACGTTGCATCGCAATTAACGATAGCGACGACGCTTTTTTCGTTTATCACAGCTCCAACATGTTTTAAATATTCCTCCGCACTCTCGCTCGCGCATGCGCGCTAGCAATTTCACGGAGTGATATCCCATTGAGTGCGTATTGCGCTTGAATGTCACGACTTGATATCCCATTGATTGTTTATTGTGGAAACATATGAATGCGCCAGTGATATCACGATGTCACGACGAGATTTCGGAGTGATTTCAATATCAAGTAGTGACATTCAAGCGCAATACGCACTCACATACTTCAACATACTTCCGGCCTTAGCTGAAATAAAATTATGGGCTAAAATATTAACAGTCAACGTTTATTTAAATATAATAATAATAAGACAAGTTTTGCACACTACCTTTATACAGGGTGCATCAAGTATCCTATAAGTATAATACCTACACGGAAAAAAATCTATACTGATTCCAAGAAAATTCAACTCTATCCAAGTATAGCTTAGTTTCCCTATTCCGCAAGTAAATTTATACTTGTTTCAAGTATCCTCATATTCTTATAAAATAAAGATAGCTTCGGTTTAATCTAAGATTACTGCTATACTTAAAATAAGAAACACACTAATATTGAGTTAAGTATACAAATTTGTCTTCAATGAAGACTACGGTATTCTTGTTGTAACGTTAGTATGTATTTCATCAAAGTATAGTTTCTTTGTAAAATCTTTACAGTATTCTTGTTTTAAGAATATACTTTCTTTAAAATTTATATATTTATAATTATTGTAAGTACACGCTTTACTTGCATAAAATGCTTGTATTCTTACTTTTCCTTTTTTTATATTTGATAAAAGTATAGTATATATTTAAAATAACTTTACACTATTCTTAAAGAAAGTGGTTGATTGGAAAAAAAAATTCCCTCGTCTAGCGACTCGGAATAATTTTTACAAAAAAAAACATTCGTGACCCTGAAAAATATTTGTATTACTTAATTATCCTACCACTACGGAAAATACAAGTGAAAGTGAAAATATATTCGTTATGACAGTAATTTAACAGTATTTTTGGCAGATTATTTTAATTATTTTAATGTACTAAAGTACTAAGTATAATAGGCACTGATATCACAATAGGTTTATTACCTAACAGTCTTAGAGGTATTAGAAAAAGTACTGTCAATTTATATAAATTCATTCTTTCACGGTTAATTAGCATAGATACTATATTTTACATTTTATTTTTTTAAGTACCTAGGTATCACATTTTTGGTTCTATATGTAAAGGTGAGGTTTTTAATCACAATACTTAGTTATTATTTTTTTTAGTAGGTATTTTTGTTGTCAGTAAAATTTATCTCCAGCTAAATAATTTGTAAAATGAGTCTCTAAAAAGGCTACCATTATCATCGTAGATGGTTTGGTGTTAATTCTTAAATTTTTTCTCTAACCTTGATCCTCATCCTATTTTTGGAATTAATTCCTTTAAATTCTCCTCGCTTAGGTTTACCGTAATATCGAGATCTATCTCGTTTTCTAAAACAAAAATAATATATCTGAATTGGAGGCTATATAGCCTTTCTGCTGTTTATGTGCTATTGTCTATTACCTGTCGTATGCTATCCATTTTACACTACAGTATACCTATCCATTTTGCACTACATTTTTACGATCATGCCTAGTTAATTACTTTAAATTAATTAAATATTATTTACTTACCCAAAAATGTGTCTAGTAAACATTCTGCCCCAATTTTTAAGTTTCTTCTCCATTATTTTTTATTAAAAATAACATCCAGACCAAAAAAGGAAAAAACGAACACACGCTACCACAATAGAACACAGGACAGAACTGAACACAGAAACTGCGTCTTTTCTTTTAGCGAAGCGGTCTTAGAGGGTGGACGGAATTTACTTAAGCGAAGAATTAGGTATTTGTTTTAATAATAGCTATACTTAAATACAGTATATTGTATTCTTTGTTCTAGAGGTCTTATACTTAAATTGAAGTATAAGCGTTCTTGTATTAAATATACATATATTTAAATAAAGTATACCGAAATTTCATACAAATATACAGAATACTTAAAATAAGTGGCAATATTCCGCTTTGAGTAAAAAACTAGAGCTCTTTCATTTAAGTATTATTGTATATTTGATTTAAGTATACCAATTTTCTTTAAAATAAAATACCTTTAAACTCAATCCAAGAATACTCATCTCAAATCAAGTAACAGTTTTTCTTAAAAATTAAGTATATCCCATTACTTAGTTTAAATGTACGCTAATCTCATAGAAATAATAAATATACTTAAATCAAGTTCCTAACATGAAGTATAGAACTATTCTTAAACCTAGTAAGGGATTTTTTTCCGTGTACATGTATACAGGGTGTCGCAGATTTTAATTGGGAAAATTTAGTATCTATAGAAATCGAAAATATCAGAAGGAAAGTATGTATGTTTTAAAGCTTCGTTTTCGAGAGGCAGGGTGGTAAAGTTATTTAAAAAAATATTTATTTTTGGGCGAATTTGATAAAAACCTTTTAGGTTTTTAGTGGTGGGCAAAGGGCTTAATTTAATGTAAATTAAATTAAATCCAGAGGCGGCTCTGGAACATACCAAATTGATATTTAAAAATAAAATTTGGGTATGCTACTGCTTTTTTGTAAGTTTATCATTATTTAGAGATTAAAATTTTTAATTTAAAAATAAAACGGAAACGAATTTAATTTTTTTCTTCAAAATTAAATTTTAAAGCATATAAGTTCACATAAACTTTTCTTCTTACTTTTGCGAGTTCTGTTTACTATTAAATTAAAATTAATAATTTATTAATTATTGAACTCAAAATTTATATTGCAGCGAGTTTATTAACAGAATTAAATATAAAATGCAATTATTTCATTCAATTCTGAGAAACAAAGATCAATAAATTTTTTTTAATCATGACGACTCGTCATTAGGATATCGTTAACGATAAAAGTGACGTCTCGTAAAGTATCGGATCATAAGTCTCGTCATTTTTTTTGTTATGCGTATCGTCATTGTTGGTAGGGTTAAAATAAAGTTTATAAATTGAAAAAAAGGCAGCTGTTCTCAAAACTTTTGAAAAAAACTAAAAGCCTTTTAAACCAAAAATCTTCATAGCTTTGTTATTCCTGGGAATTAAAAAAAAGTAAGTTTAAGTTGTTAACATACACATTTATCTACATTTTCATCCAATTTATTCGTAACTTTGAGTTACCATCACCATCTTTTGTCTTTAAAATGGCCATGGCGATGGTGCACCATTAACTTATATAGTTTAATAAATCGATTTTTTTACTATCTAACTATGTAAAATTGTATTATGGCAGCCATAGCAAAACCAAAGATGGTGATAACTCAAAACCAAGTAGACAACAAAATTTCATTCATTCATATTGCTATACACTCCTTGTGGAGTTGTAGCTGCTCCGTAGAGCCTAGATAATCATTTTCCATGGTGGATCAGTCCATGTTTTTTCTTTGTATGTTACAGTTTGCTGTATGTTTTGGCCTTCTCAACAATACTTCGCCATACCTGTCTATTCTTAATTTTTTCTCTCCATCCAATCACTTTTAATATTCTTAAATCGTTGTGTATTTGATCTTCCCATCTCATCCTTGGCCTTCCTCTCGATCTGTTCTCTACTGGCCTCCATTTTATTATTTTTCTTACCACTTTGTTTATGTCTTTTCTGTACACGTGTCCTAGCCATCTGAGTCTCTGGGCCTTTATTACCTTGACTATATTTTCGTTTTTCATCTTTTCGTCTATTTCATGATTCATTAGTCTTCGCAGCTTTCCTTCCTCTGTCCTAACTGGTCCATATATTTTCCTCATAATCTTTCTCTCAAAACACTTTAATTTCTCTTCATCTTTGCTTGTCATAATCATTGTTTCTGCCGCATATGTAACTATCGGCCTTATGGCTGCCTTGTATATTTTTATCTTTGTTTTTTTACTTATATTTTTATCTTTCATATATTGGCTGTATGTGAAGTACGCTCGATTTCCTAGTTGTATTCTTTGATTGATTTCCTCTGTCCGGTCGTTTTTTTCATTTATTATTACTCCTAGATATTTAAAACTAGTCACCACTTCATACTTGTTATTTCCTATTTTGGCTATTTGTTGTCTAGTTCTGTTGTCTTTATTGCATATCATCAGTTTTGTTTTTTCTTGGTTAATCGCCAGTCCTCTTTTCCTTGCTTCGTTTTCAATTTTAATAGTGGCTTCTTGAAGTGCGCTACTGTCCCTTGCGATAATTGCTATGTCATCCGCATATGCAATTATTTGTATGGATTTATGAGTTATTAACCTTTTTGTGACTGTCGACCTCATGACTTCTTCTAGTGCTAAGATAAATTACGTTGCAGAAAGTGAATCGCCTTGCCTTACTTCTTTATTATATTCAAACTCTTCTCTTTCGCCTTCTTCCGTCATAACTTTTGCTTTCAACCTTTCCATCGTCATATGCACCAGGTTTCTAATTTTTCTAGGTATATTTATCTTTTTTAAATCTTCTTTTAAAGTTTTGCGACAGATGTTATCAAATGCCTGTTTAAAGTCTATAAATAATATATCAAGTCCTATTTTATGTTCGTGAGCTTTCTCTAGTATCTGCATCATGATGTGTATTGGGTCTATAGTTGATTTTCCTTTTATAAATCCATGTTGGTAATCTCCTACTTCTTTTTTTATATATTTCTTGAGCCTGTTGTTTATAATTGTTGTCAATATTTTATATGCCCCGGTAATTACTGCATTGTCTTGCGTCTCCTTTTTTAAGTATTGGAATGATAAGTCCCATCCTCCATTTTTCTGGCACTCTTTCTTCTCTCCAAATGTTAATTATTAGTTTATGTAGGTGTTCCATTAGGTCTGTTCCTCCCATTTTAATGAATTCCCCACATATTTCATCTTGACCTGCCGCTTTTCTTTCTTTTAGCATTTTGATCGCTTCGTTTACTTCTTCATAGGTTGGATTTTCTTCAGTTTCATTCATACTTTGTTCGTTAGTTTCATTTGTTTCTATTCTGCTTACTTCCATTTCATGGTTTTCTTCTTTCTTTTCGGATAGCAAATTTTTAAAGTGATTCTCCCATTCTTTTTTATCTATTTTTGTTGTTGTGGACTTCTTTCTTTTATTTTTTTATACTCGCAAATAATTTCCTACTATCTTTACTGTTGTTCTCTATTTCAGACAACAAAATTTATAAATTGTTAATGTAGAAATGTATACAATGTATACTATACATTCGAAACTTACTTTTTTTTAATTCTCAGGAATAACAAAGCTATGAAGATTTTTGGTTTAAAAGGCTCTTATTTTTTTTTCAATTATGTGAGAACTGCGGATTTTGCAATTTTGCAATTTTCAAATTCCATTTTAATAGACTTGTAATTACATAACTTTTCTTCAGTTTAATGGCTTAACCAACCTGCACGTGCCGTGCTGTGCACCCTGTATATGTATACATAAATATGTATATACGAGACCCGTCGCATATAAGTTGGGACAGTGAATTCAATAGTTTCAGTAAATCCAGGTTTTTTCCCAGTTTTTTTGTTTTTGGACAAAGTATGATATTTCTTTTAGTATAATTCTTGTTGACATTTAAAAACCTACAACAATATCTTTTCACTCTTGACAATATTGATAACAGTTTTACACCTTAAATTTATTCCAGAGCAAATGGAGTATACAATATATAGTTTACCATGTATACCTTACTATAGCAAGATACATACGCACTTGGCTAAAATCGCTCGCAAAATCGCAAACAAATATAAAATTAAGTTATATATATATATATAGATATATTTTTGCGGAAATAAGTTCTTAAAACAATTAAAGAAAAATATTAAATATTAAAGAAAAAAATCTTTGTCTAACAATAATAACATAATACGTATTTAACGTATTATGAACAAATTAAAGTAATGTCATTTAAATGAAAAGTTTCGTCCCTGCGGGGTCACGTCGCGACGCGTCGTTACATAAAAAGATCACGCGCATGTCACTGCTTGACATAAAACGATAAACTTAATCACTGTGCCAGCAATTGGATATCAAGTTGTGACATGTCACGTCGTGACTTTTTCGTGATATCACAAATGTTTACTGGGTAAAAGCACGCAGGTAATATAAAATCTCGTAAATGATATACGTATGAAGAATAATTTTACTGGAATTACACCCCATTATACATTTAATATTTTGTATACTAATTTGTTGTATTACTAAAAACAACATGTTAAATGAAATTTAGTATTTTTAATTTTTTTTAAGAAATATGTTTGACATTTGAGAACAACATGCTACACATTGTATAAAATAACTAATATTTATATTTAAGTACAATGTAAATTTTTTTATAAAAGTTTTTAATTCAAATAATTTCAAAGAAAAAAAATTCTTAGGACTTGTATTGTGCTGAACAACATGTAATCGATATTAATAATAATGAATATTATATTTTTCGCGACTTTTACACGCGAGTTGTGCATTAAAGTGTGATTCACAAAGTGGGATAAAATGTCAAGTCCAAACCCTGTTTAATTCGTAAGAAAAAACTAAATTTAACAATATAATAAATAATTTTATTAAATTATAAACAAACAATATTTTCGCATAAAGGTAAATTTGCTTATAATTTGGCAATTTTATTTATTATATGGTTAAATTTAGTTTTTTCCACGAATTACATGTCCCATTTATTAGCACATTCAAAAACACGGTTTAT